ACTTCTATCCACAATTTCCTCCCCCATATCTTTCTGACCTTCTCCTTGTGGCTAGACCCACCCACACCCTCAGCTCCTTTTCCTTCATACATCTCACTGCTCCCTCTGCCTGCCTTGTTACCAAGGGTAACAGAGCTTTCAGTCACTTTGCCCCCATGCTCTGGAACTCACTCCCTCCTGATCTCTGTAACACCAATTTCAAAACTTAGGTTTTTGAACTTGCTTACTCTCTGTAATTCATTTTTATTGTCTCTTTAATTCTAATCAAATTTGCATTTACTCTACTGTTTTAACTGTGTGCCTGTTTTTTGTGTACTTAAGCTTGAAATGTAAGGTGACCTTGAGTATCCAAAAAGTGGAGCCATAAGTTGTGGTTTAAGACAGAAACCCACCATTTAGTGATCAGATTCTTTTTACTATCTTGGGAGGACTCAGGAACAAAGAGACATAGTTCAACACAGGAAAGACTGGCTCAGAGCTGGGCTTGATGTTACCATAGACATAGAGCATTAGCACAGACTCTTCTTATATGCAGAGGTGATGAGATGATTGGGTACACCTGATTGCAATCACAAAGGTGTGGAGAAGCAATCAGCCTTGCAGCGATCTCAGGATGCCTTCCATCGAATCCTAGGAAGAACCACCCAACCAGCCCAGCCAATGAACGCCAATCCATACATAACAAAAGAAAAGTAAATCACAGTGGAATAGATGGAACAAAAATGGTTAAACACAATGAAAGTGGCACAATGAAAAGTATGGGTTATGTATTTTAAAAGATAGAAATATTTATAAAAAGATAAAATGGAACACAAATTAGACTGGAAAATTAACTAATAATGTTTGATACTGTCTTTATGTGCCTCTGAAAATTTCTGTATGAGTGCAACACCACACCCAAGTTTCAAACCTCATTGATTGTTTCTAGCTTTATTAATATAAGCTGTGTGCTAACTTTTGAAGGCCATTCTTCTGTTCTAAATACTATTACTTCAGTTTTGCCCTGATTTAGTTTAAGAAAATGTTGACTCATCCATGTTTTGATTTCTTTGATGCATTTATCCAGTGCTTGAATGGGTTCATCTTACCTGGTATATGTATTAACAAGGGGTGTATGTCTGGGTTTGGAGGTAGGGAGGTTGAATAGGGGCGTCCACATTTCCTGTTAAGTTTGCCGAGGAGCCCTTGATCTGCGTCAAGTTGTGGGGTTTAAGGGGTTTAATGGGTGTGGTCGGTCTGTGTTTGGATTTGGGAGGAGGAGGGTTTATTGTGGGGCTCTACATGTCCTGCAGAAGGTGGCAGGGAGACCTTTTGTGATGAAGGCCTTCTCTGAGCCAACTGCCTGGGAATCCTAACCTTGGAATTTACATAGACAATCCCTCTTAAGTTTTCTTTAAATTCATGTTAAAGGAATAGTACACCCAAAACATGATTAGCCTTCATTTTCTACTCACCCCCATGCTGAACAACACTCTGGAGTACTTTTTTGATATCTCAAATGCATCTGGAGATCTGGGAGGCTTCTTGCTGTCTGCTGACATTCAAATAATGGAGGTCTATGGTGCCCGAGGCAGAAAGGTCCATAAAAGTCCACAAGAAAAGTGTCAATATTCCTCCATACTGCTCGTCCAATGTATTCCAAGTGTCCTGAGTGGGTAGCATCCAGAATTTACTCGAAACAAAGTCATTTAGAATGTTTTTAGAGCATAAACAGTAGTGTATAGGATTTCCTAAAAGCGCGTTCACGAGTCTACGGAAACTGCGGCAGACCAAACCAGACGAAAGTGCGCATTCAGCGTCTGCTCTGCCGATAATGCAAGTGTAGAAGAAGAAATGTGCTGTTTACCTGTGCAAAGAAAGAAACAACAAAAGAAAAATGTCTGAGGACTTCAGTGTTGAGGAAGAGCATGAGTTCTTTGCCGAGCTGAATGCGCACTTTCGTCTGGTTTGGTCTGCCGCGGTTTCCGTAGCGTCGTGAACGCGCTTTTAGGAAATCCTATACACTACTGTTTATGCTCTAAAAACATTCTAAATGACTTCGTTTCGAGTAAATTATGGACGCTACCCACTCAGGACACTTGGATTACATTGGACGAGCAGTATGGAGGAATATTGACACGTTTTTTGTGGACTTTTATGGACCTTTCTGTCTCTGGCACCATAGACCTCCATTATTTGAATGTCAGCAGACAACAAGAAGCCTCCCAGATCTCCAGATGCATTTGAGATATCAAAAAAGTACTCCAGAGTGTTGTTCAGCATGGGGGTGAGTAGAAAATGAACGCTAATCATGTTTTGGGTGTACTATTCCTTTAAATCCTTATTAATGAAAAGAAAGAAGAGCTTAATCACACCACTTTTCACACCCCTATTTTTCCTCTCAAGGATATAACTGAGAATTTAACTTGTGTATGCTGTTATAGTAACATCAATATATGAAAGTGCTTTGAAATGTATTTCTTATTAGCTTTTTTTTTTATTTTCTTTAATTTCTCAGCACCATTATTATTTATAAAGGACGCAATTTAAGTATAAATGCCACATCTCAAAGGTTTTTTTGTGTTCTCTTGATGAAACTAAGTGAAATATTTTTATGCATACAGTTAATATGTAAAAGTTAAGGTCAAGTAGAGTGCTTGGCAGGTTTAATAGCCTCGCCCCAACTTCCATTTCCAAAAAAGAATTCTTGCCTATAACTCAAACTCAAAATATGGAAAATACAGAGGATAGAAATATTCCAACAAAAACAACCATCAAGTTAGAGTTTGTGTGGAGTTAACTGTAATTTACAGCTCAGTATTGATTTGTACAAATACCTTAAGTGGCTTGGGATTTATAGAACAGAGAAAGTTTAGACATGAAAGCAGTAATTTAGTAGTAAATACATATATGTAGTAATATATTTACTGAATGACAGCGTGAATATAAAATATAAGGTCAAGTTAACATGTTTAGAAGCAGTAGGAGAAACTGAGTAAAGAGTAGGCTACGGCATATCAAAGAGCCTGGATGTGATGTTTAGAGTGATTTAGAATGAAATCTTTAACTCTACTCTTGCCCAGGAAAGGCCATCCGAAAGCCTGTGCAATCTTTATGCATGTTTAGGCGGCAATGTTGTTTTTGCTGTGTTTATTTCCCCTGATCCAATGCAACATTAAGTATATTGCTTTGAAACTGGTTTCTAAAGTATAGCAGGATATTACAGGTTTTTACAAGATAGACCCTTTTGAGAAATAATTATCTTTCTTCAATAAATGTATTATCACTCAAATTCACCCTTAGTTTGTGCTTCCATGCTCAATATATATAAATATATATTTAAACCTTCTAAAACTTAACTTTTGCTCCAGTATGTCCTGATCGCAGCCCCGGTAGCTGATCTAATTACTCACTTCATTCACCTGCCGTACCCTCCCCAATCTCTAATTATCATTCATTTTATCCACCTGCTCCCACCGCTTTACATACAGTTCAGCCTTAGCCGCTTACACCAAAGCCTGGTTCTGTTAAATAAACATTTTGAATTATCCCACTGTCTGTCTCGCCTTGAATACTGGATCCTGTTTTCCTGTTCATGACAATATATTGGTCTTTATTGTGAACTCAGTTAACTGACTGTTCTGGCAGATTATCATTTTTTTCGCTCCTCGTTGGTCTCGTAACTCAGCCTCCCCGCACAGTGCCTGTGCCATCTTTGCTATTTGTCGCCGCTGTCACAACCCGACAGCGGGCAGCTGTCACAGAAAATACCATAATGCTTTGCTTTGCAAAGCAATCTGGGCCGAGTGACCATCGATGATCACTACTTTCAAAGGTGTATTGGAAATTTTAAGTCTACTACTTATTCATCTGCTAAACCTTCAGACACTCATTTAAAATGGTATAATCACTACTGTATATAGTGCCCTATATAGTGATTGGGCGGATGTTTGGACACAGCCCTGGTGAAAAATGCCTTCCTTCTTAAAGCTAAAGGAGCACTTATTACTGTGATTTATATGGAAGACTCCCAATATTTTATGTTATCTCCCATCAAGTAATTTCATTAATTTCTCATGCTAATCTAACAATTTTTTTGTGAAAGAAAAAAGTTAGCTTGTGGGGTATTTGTGCATGGGTGTAACGAACCTGGGGTTCCTGTGGGACATTTCCACATACTTTGCCCGTTACCTCGGTCCCCCACAAATTTTTTCTGTAGTTTTTTACAACAGTTAAACTTATTAGAATGGAGTGAGTTATTTTTCTGAACTGTCTTAGAATGCAACATAAGGATACATAGGCTAACCTAGAAGATCAACACAGATGCGATGGTGAAACGAGCTGAATATAAACATCAGCATGATTAACAAACCAGCTGCAAAAAAGCAAAAAACTGAGCATTTTTATCTTTAGAAACAGATTTAAAAGAACAATTGAATGTGCCACTCTAAGTACACTTTTTTCTGACTTTAAATATAGAATGAAAAAAACAAAGTAGCATTGAAATTATTATTAATTAGTCCTTCTTTTTTCTGTAAAATGATACATGAATAACTACCATCTCAGGATGTTGTGTTCTTCTTATTTTTAGGGTAAATTGATCAGTAAAAACAAACAGCTATGGTAATAATCAAGTTTTTAGTTTAAAGCAGGAGAAAATATCAGATAAAAGCAGCAGTTACCTCAAATGAAGGAGAGGAAAAAGAAGGACTGATGCATGGTTTCCAACAAGGCCACTGCTTAGATTATGCTACACAAATGGGGCTGTATGAGCTTAGCATATTAAATCCTTATGTAACTTAAACAGTGAGATTGATTTATTAATGTGGGTTACATATTTCTGCTGCGGTAAAGCTTTTTTAAACTAAACCTTCCCAATCAAATTCACATGTTTGCATTTTACATCATTTATCTGAGCTGGACTAATTTGCAAAAAAACAAAAAAGGCTAATTAAAATGGTAATAATCTCATGCGGCTATGATTTAAATGTCCTTTTGTGTGTGTGTGTGTTTTTTTCTAGGCTACATGGTAGATTTGATGAACAGGTCCATGATCATCCTTGAGGATACTTTCATTTCAACATGGGGTATCCTGTACGCCAGGAATTCCATGCTCTTTCAGGAACTCTACCAAGATTTGAGAGACTACTACCAAAGTGGAAATGTCAATCTGGAAGAGGTGCTGACTGAATTCTGGACCAAGCTGCTGGAGAAGGTCTTTTATCAGGCAAATAAGCTGAGTTCAGTAGGTATGTTTATGCAATATAGAATTATTGAATAGGCCTGTTTTGTGTAATGCTAAAAAAATAGATTTCTAGCAGTGAAGATGTCAAGTACTTTAAAAAACACTCCTTACAAGAAATTTAATGTATGCCTTTGAAATATATTTTCTTGTTTACATTACTAAACATTACCAGCAGGAACACACCAGACAGCTTTTTCAGCATTTACATGTCAAGATAACCATGTCAATTTCTTTACCGATACTGCCTTCCGAGTGGTCCTGATAATCAGGACCACTCGGAAGGTGAGGCACCGATTATGGAGAAGATAATCCTGCAGTGTTGCATTTAAACAAAGTGAGCTGTCCTGCTTTGTTTTAAATCTGCACACAAACCCTTTAGTTGCTACACCAGACAATAAAAGCTTCAAGTCATATACATTCATTTGTGTTTGTAAACAAAATCCATTCTCATTTTAACTGTAATCAGCCAGAGAATATGCACTTAAAAACCATGTGGGTTCATGTTTTTTTAAGACAAAATAAGAGACAACTTACCTCTAAATCATAGTATTTCATGTAGACTCTCTCCTCGTGCTGCCTCCACTCCTTTATACATCATCTTTTTTTTTTGTTTTTTTGAAAGTATTAGCATATACATTATCACCATTGGGTCCACCATGTTTTACTTAGAATTCTCATTTGATCTTGAGAGGTGAGCACGAGTTCTGCTCTAACAGCTAAATGTAATGGGTGAATTCAAAATTGGTGCACTATTCTTGTCTTGTGGTCGGTAAATTTAGACTGTTGAACAAGATCACTGTAAGTCTGACAGAGCACTCTTGAATCTGTCTTTCAGAAATGTCACACTTCATTTCTATCTGTAATTTAAGGCTCAGCATTGATTTGTACAAGGAATTAAAGTGGCTTATGGTTTATAGAACAGAGCAATTTTACAAATGAAATGGGTCATTTAGTTGTAAATAAAGATTTCTATTTCCTGAATGATATTATGGATGTACAGTCAAGTGAATGTGTTTAGAAGCAGTTAGAGAAGCCGAGAAAAATTAGACTGTGACATGTCAAAGAGCCTGTGAAGATTAGTGTGATTTAGACCGAAATATTTAACTCTAGTCTTTATTTAAATTTCTGTAAGTATGTGTGCATGTTTAGGCAGCAATGTGGCTTTTGCTATGTTTATTTCCCCTGATCCAATGCAACATTAAGTGTGTTGCTTGTGAATCTGGTGTCTAAAGCAGAGCAGGATATTACAGGGTTTTTGAACACACTGGATAAATAAAATACAAATACACATATACAAATGAAGTATTTGTTATCATCATATAATTATATCTATATTTATAGCAAAGGATTGTGATGGCAACATCATGCTGAGGTGATATTTTATTTTAGCAGACACTGAAAAGTGATACATGGATTGTTGGTGAGAAATAAAAGTAAAGTGACGAGAGTTAAAAAACAAAACAAAACAAAAAAAAAAAACGGCAATTTATAACAGGATACATTATTACTTTAATTAATGAGGGGAAATGTAGATGTTTTTGTCACCCTGAATAGTTCATTATCCCATGCTGGTTTGTAATTTTAAAAATTCAACATTTGAGTCCTCCTTTATTTGAAAATATTAATAATTCTGAGTAACTACAGGTATTTACTTGATTTTTAAATAGCCATGGGATGCTTTTCAGAATAGAATAATGGCAAGAAAAGAAACTTTTATTTAGCCATGTTTCCTCAATTGAATGTAAAAAAGAGAACTGTTTATACAAAATAATGTTATCGACATTTTACAGTAAAATGAAATCTTGAACTCATTTGTTTTTTGGATGAAAATTGTGTTTATGGTTCTCACACTGGGGCAGTTAGTAAACTGGAGCTAGAGCTGAGCATATAAATTAAACAGCTAAGCTCTGAATCAGTGTTTTCCTCCTTTTGTTGCTTTAAAACAGTTCCTAAGGAGTGCCAGAAAATCTGAATTTACTGGGTTTTTTTTACTTTTTCCACATACACAATATAATAATTTTCCTTCAAATATTGTTTACAAACCAGTCTAAATCTGTGATAGTGAGCACTTCTCCTTTGCTAAGATAATACATCCCACCTCACAGGTGTGCCATATACGTATAGATGCTGATTAGACACCATGATTAGTCCACAGGTGTGCCTTAGACTATCCACCATAAAAAGCCACTCTGAAAGGTGCAGTTTTATCCCACAGCACAATGCCACAATTGTTGCAAGATGTGAGTGAGCGTGCAATTGCCATGCTGACTGCAGGAATGTCAACCAGAGCTGTTTCGTGTATTTTGTATGTTCATTTCTCTACCATAAGCCATCTCCAAAGGTGTTTCAGAGAATTTGGCAGTAAATCCAACCATCCTCACAATCGCAGACTACATGTAACCACACCAGCCCAGGACCTCCTCATCCAGCATGTTCACCTCCAAAATTGTCATAGACCAGCCACTTGGATAGCTCCTGAAAAAATCGGATTACATAACCAAAGGATTTCTGCACAAACTGTCAGAAACCATTCCAGGGACACTCATCTGCATGTTTGTCGAATGGAGTGGCCCATGGTGGCGGTGGGATTATGGTATGGGCAGGCGTCTGTTATGGATGAAGAACACAGGTGCATTTTATTGATGGAATTTTGAATGCACATTTAAATATTGTGACCAGATCCTGAGGCCCATTGTTGTGCCATACATCCAAGAACATCGCCTCATGTTGCAGTAGGATAATGCACAACCCCATGTTGCAAGGATCTGTACACAATTCTTTGAAGCTGAAAGCTTCCTAGTTCTTGCATGGCCGGCATACTCACCTGACATGTCACCCATTGTCACCCATGCATGTTTGGGATGCTCTTGACCGGCATATACGACAGTGTGCACAAGTTTCTGAAAAAAAACCAGCAACTTTGCACAACCATTGAAGAGGAGTTGACCAACATTCCACAGGCCACAATTGACAACCTGATCAACTATTTGTGAAGGAAATGTGTTGCGTGAGGTAACTGGTATCAGCATCTTGATATGGCACACCTGTGAGGTGAAATGGATTATCTCAGCAAAGGAGAGATGCTCACTATGCCAGATTTAGACTGGTTTGTGAACAATATTTGAGGGAAATGGTGATATTGTGTATGTGGAAAAAGTTTTAGATCTTTGAGTTTATGTCACAACAGATGGGAGCAAAACCAAAATTGTCATGTTTATATTTTTGTTGAGTGTATATTATTTCCTATTTATTTATTGCATTTGCATGTTATGCAATCGACTGCCAAGAAGAAGGTCTATATGATATGTCTGCTTATTACAGGTGAGGACTACCAGGAGTGTGTGTCAAAGAAAATAGAGACACTTCGACTTTTTGGAGAGGCACCACATAAAATGACAACACAGGTCACTCGTACTTTTGTGGCAGCGCGTGCATTTCTTCAGGGCCTACATATAAGTCGAGAAGTGGTGGGCAAAGTGTTACAGGTAAAACTTCCAATTCTTAAAACTGTCAGAGAACCTTTGTTTCATTTACCAGAATTTTTTTTTTTATTTCCATATCCTAAAAGATTATTTTAACTGATTTTGAAAAAAATGATGGATGGATGGATGGATGGATGGATGGGTGGATGGATGGATGGATGGATGGATGGATGGATGGATGGATGGATGGATTAATTCAGATGCAATTATGGTTGTAACATATTTTATTGCTAAATGTATCTTTGCAACTCTCTGCAGTGATGCCCTTCACTCTGCTGCTTGATCTAAAGCACTCAAAAAATACTTTCACTTGCCAATTCCATCACTCCATATGAGCAGTATAAAGCTGTGGCAGATTAATGTTGTTAAAAGCAATAGACTATGAAGTATGGCTTCCAGTGTCGGAGCATCAGCCCCTGCAACACCCGTTAATGTCAACATCTAACTGAAAAATGTCTCCTGGGTATGCAGGGAGGGTTAATATGTCCCAAGAGAAATTGTTCGTTCTGCACGTAACACAAGAGTATGGCTAAGACTCTAGCTGGACGAAGAAATCATCGTGTGTGTGTGTCTGTGGGGGGTGGGGGTGTTCAGTTTTGATGCCACAGCTAAAACTATCTCTAGAAGGGCACTGGAAACGTACAGTGGTAAGAGAAATTGCCTTTGGAAGAATGCAGACATCGGTTTTCCCAAAAGGAACAAATTAATTTAACAATCCTTGATAAAACAACAAAAAAGGTGTTAAAATGATCTATAACAAGCATTAAAACAAATCCAAAACTGTAAGACCTCATATAAGGAATCTTCTCAATTTGTGACCTTGCTGCCACTGGAGGAAGTTACAGAGAGCTAAGTAGCATAGCCTGGCATGTTTCTCTCTCCCACTGTTAATGGAAGCAAAGTGATGCGCACATGCTCACCAGCTTAGGTGCCCCTTATATTTAGGGGGGGGTCCACATGAACCTCTGCGGCTTGGCCATCAGACCATGTGAAGGAGGAGTATCAATGTTGGCCTCATTCCACAATTACAATCTAATCACACCCAAACCTGGCCGGTAGTGGTCCAAGTACTCTTATTGAGTGTAATGCATTTTATGCCCTATCTGCTATGTGCATTTGTTTTCGCCACTGTACTAAAAGGGATCAAGCAGCTATAAAAGTGTAACTAAAAATAAAACTATTAAAAAGTTATATACCCTTCTTCTTGATTATAGAGATAAGGAAAATGCTGTGATCCAAGTGGAAAAGCGTTGACAGCTGGGTAGTACATGCACATAACCAACTTGCGCATATATTGTATGTTATATGTACATTTTATTAAGCAATGAAAAGGTAGCAGAAATGTGCTTCTTGTTTCTCTTGAGTAATATAATATGTCTTTACAGCAGTCACAAAGGTAACTCACAGAGGTTTGGACTCAAATCATTTTACTTACAAACAAGTAAGACTGAAGGGACAAGTTTATCTCTCTTAGACTCAAATTATTTTGACTTATACTGGACTTGGATAACTTTAGTTGGACTAGAACCATTTGCTTGAGAGCACTTGATATCGGATACTCAATAGGAAAGGAAAGGAAAAATTCCAGGTTTTGTCAGGTTTTGTGGAAGTTAGTTGAGGACCCAAATCTAGAAATGAGGAGGCAGAGATGAGTTCTTGCAGATTTGATTTGGATGCAGATTGAAACAGAAACTCAAATTCAGGAACACAAAACAAGAAATCAAATCCAGGAGATGCCAGGGGAGATACACACATGAGGATCAAGGCAATGAAGAGAAACCAGGGCTGAGCAACTGCATAGTAGGAGTATATATGGGAGGCAAAACAAAGACTGGGTTCATCAGCTGACAGGGAGCAGGTGTGAATAGAAGCTAGAGGAAAGGAGACTGGCACAAGGAGGCAACAGGGAGCAACACAAAAAAAAAAAAACAACACTGCTTAAAAAAAACTACAAGAGTGTGATTTGGTGGCACAGTTGTTAGCGCTCACTACCCAAGTATGGAGGCCTTAGTCCTCGACACGGGCGGCCCGGGTCCTTTCCCACATGTCTCTCCCCCTCTCTCATATCCCCTTTCCAGTCAGCCTACTGTCCATAAAAAACGAGCCACTAGTGCCCCTAAAACTAAAAAGAAAAAACCTATAATGGCAAAATGGAAAAGAAACCAATTACCATGAAAGCACAGAATTACATAAATCAAAGTGTAATTCAACACTTAAACAGAACCAAAAAATCCACAAACAGGAGAATCATGACCCCAAGGCCGGTGTCATCACGGAGGTGTTTGCAGACTGTGCATTGACAATGTAAAAGAATGTTTTTTTTAAATGTGAGGGCATGGTGTTGGGTAGGCCCCTGCTGAATTTCTCTAATGCAGAAATTATCTGTAATGTCCTCCCTGAAGTAAGTCAGTTTTCAACTTGCCAATTTGTTAGATACAAAAATCCATTCAAAAATCAAGACAATTAAATTTTGTATGCATTTCTGACTTGCTGGAAAGTACTGTACAAATAACCTTGACCTAAAAAGTCACGGTGAGCCAAAAGAAAAATTGTGGTTTTGCAATTTCTTAAATAATTAGCAATTTTTACAAAATGAAGGCCTAGTTATTTTGACACCAGGTCATTTGCCCACTTTTTTTCCAAAGCTGCATCCAGTTTTATTTCGCTAAATATTGTACCTTATAGGAATCCAGAATGCTAAACTAAATCTAAGCTCTATTTTTTAAGGGGGTTAATGTGTCTCAACATCTTAAATGCAGGTTTTAAACTATCTGAAAAAACACCAAAAGTTTCAGTGCGTTTTGAACAAAAAAATATAGCTGTGCAGTAAAAGAACATTGTCTCTCACAAAGGAACCTTAAAAAGATAATGCCTATTTAAATGGAAGACGATTAAAATGTTTATAGACAGAAGAAGATCTGAGCTGGATCTGAGCAGTTCCAGTAAAGCATTAATTCTCCCTTTCCTTTGCTCCAGGTTATGCCAGCTGCTTTTTCCTTAACTTTCCCTTGACTATGTTATTCTCTTGGGAAGGGAATGTTGGAAGTAGGCCATGTGCTGGACAGCTGACTCTAAAGGAAGGCAGTCTAGATAATCTCGGTCTGAAAAGCTGTGTAAATGGCAAAATACAAAGTATGTGCTAATTACACACTGCAAAAATACTGAGACAAATATAAACACAGAGCCGTGGGTTGTATAAAAGTGTTGAGGTTGCAACAAAAACAAGTAAAAAACATCTTAGTAAAAGACATGAAATGTAACAATATGTAGCATTCAGAATGGTTAATTTTGAATGTGTACCTGTGTATTTGTGTAGAGCATCTATCACCCAAGAGACAAGGGTGACTATGTTGCTCATCTTAATAGATGACTACTTTTTCTCATTAGAAAACCAGCAAACACAGGACAGATGGAGGACCCAACCTCATTAGTTCCTCTAATCTGTTCAAAATCTTTGCACTGGAATAACCTTATTGTGAGCATTGGAGCAGTACTTCATTTTCTGTAATATACAATAATTTGCCTTTATTTTGTAGCCTTAAGAGAGATTTTGAATGCTCAGAGAAAGTTAAAAAAATTTTGTACAAATTAGACTTATTGAAAAGCATAAGAATCCGACAGTATAAAAAAACTCAGAGAGCAATGGCATCATGGTGTTAACACAACAATTCTACAGATTTAATAAGTCAATTAGCTTTTGCTTTCAATTGAATCAGCTGGCACACCAACTCATAGCTTGCAAAATATAGTTTGAAATAGTGTTACCTGCAGTTACCTGAGTTTCATACCCAGGGGAATGTCTTGCATAAATTTATGTCCTGGGTGAACTCCTTTTGATTCCTCTCAACTAATTAAAAGGCTGAAATTCATCCGAGTATTGAGGGTAGGGACAATGCATTGTAGTTGCATTCAAAGAATGTTCTGACATTATATTATTTTACAGCTGTACACTGTTCAGGTTTTCCACGATATTTGTCTATCTTTTCTGGATGAGAAGTGTGATCTGCGCAGTGCACAGCTACTTGTGAAGTAAACATGCTACTAGTTAACTTTTTGCTCTGTACAGCCTCAAAAAAATAAATTAATAAAAAAATAAATCCAGCACTTTCTCTGGTATCTCTTTAAAAGTGTCATGATGGGTTTCTAAGAGAGTAAGCCCAAGATGCACAAACACACACGGAGACACTGGGTAAAAAGTCCAAAAGAGTTTATTGTGGCACAAACATGAATCATGAAAAGGGAACAGTTCAGGCAGGGGGCTGGTTCACTGGGGTCTGTGCAGGGAAAGGGAGATGGATGGAAGCTGAGTTCAAGTGAGGCTAAGCATCAAGCTAGGCTTAGCCTGGCAGACCTGAGTTTGAGCTTCCAGCTCACTGCAGGGAACAACAGGGGAAAACACGAAGGATTTCTCAGGCTAAGCTTCCAGCTCACCGCAGGGAACTACAGGGGAAAATCCACATTGGAACCTCTAGGGAAACTCCTCAGAGAAGTCGTCAGGTTTCACCACGTAGGAATCTTGGGTTGGCTCACCAGGGCAGATTAGCTGGTTAGTTCTCCTTTGAGCTTCAGGCTTGAAACTGGTTTCCAGTGATGCAACTCTCCCAGAGCTGCAGGCCAGAGACAGGTTGCCAGAGAGACAGCTCATCCAGAGCTTCACGAGGAGACAGGAGGTTAAGCTCATCCAGAGCTTTCACGAAGAGACAGGAGATTAAGCTCATCCAGAGCTTTCACGAAGAGACAGGAGATTAAGCTCATCCAGAGCTTTCACGAAGAGACAGGATTCCTGTGAGACAGAGACAAGGAAGAATTAGAATCTGATCTCACACTAGAGATAACGAGATTCTTCAGTAGCTGAGGCTCAGGAAGCTAACCAACTAAGATCAACACTGCGGCGTGGAATCAAGGTCTGAAGTCACCTTATATACTGTGGTCCTCCTGATTAGTAGATCAGCCACAGGTGTGTGGGAGGCTCAGCTCAGGAGGACCCACGGCGCACTCTGTTGGAGGCAGAGGGTAATCTCCAGAACCTTGATAGTGACTCCAGCCCTAAAGAAAAGACAAAGAGAGCAGAAGAGGATCCTCGGCGCCCTCTGGTGGGCAAGCCTGAGGATCCCAACAAAAAGGACTTCACATCATAGGAAAAATGTTGTACAGCTACAAACTTAAGATGTTTTGAAATAGTAACTGATTAATAACAGAGCATAGTCTAACACTGGTAACCAGCTCTAAAAACCAATCTAACCATCTCTAAAAACAACAACACAATAATCAAATTTTAGGGGTGTATACAATAATTTTATTATTATTGTCTGGATTTTTGAGTGTCATCACTATGTGGTATTTAGATTTAAGTAAAAATTTTTAACAATATTTTTTTGTATTATTTTCAAAATAAGAGCTACCTCTAAAACCATATAGGTAAACCAATGTAAATTAAATTCCTACTTAAGTGACTGACCCTTTACAGTTTTAATAGGCATTTCATTGACCTTATTTGACCTCAAGTTTTATCCCAGTATTTCTCTACTCTTGGGCCTTTTTCCCGCTCTTTGCTGTACACCACCCTCTCTGACTGTTCTGCTCACTAAAGAGCAATCAGCTGACTCATCCCTAGCTAATGAGAGCAATAGCATGGATGAAAGAAGAATAGAAAAAAGGAGAAAGAATTAGAATTTGACTAATGTAATATTAGTTTTCTTTTACCATGCCTTGATGCACCTTTTGTTTTCTCTCTTGCACAAATGACTTTTAACGCACTTTTGTCCTATTTATGATCTTGATTAAGTTTCTAAAAAAAACACACCAATGTGTTTCTTTTTTTGGGTTGATCTAGTTACTTTTATGGCAAATTGGCTTAAACACATTCTATACTTCATACAAAGAATGTGTTTCTTTGATTGCTATTATCCACCTACTGTTGCCCTATTTCTCTTCAAAGTTTGATCAAATGTGGTTTTAACTGGGACTTCTTCTGGAGGAGGAGTTTCCAGTAAAAGTCTCAAGCGGGCCCAGATGTCAGCTTAGAGGAGCTTTGTATGCGTAGCTGGGTTCATTCCATCTCTTTCCTTTCTCCCTCTTGCACAGACACACACGCTTCATACTTCTTGAGGTTTTGTATGCATAGCTGTACTCTCTTGTGAACAGAGCTTACTGGTATTAACCCAGTTTCAGTTTTCACGCACAAAGGCCTCTTCTCCTATGGGAATAGCCTTGTGGTATAGGGAGAAAAATTGAACTGGCAGGAAGGACAGAGTAGGGGACTGAGAACACTTGTATCAATGTCAAGGTCTTTATATCTCATGTTAAAAGAAAAATAAATTTTCCCAGTTGTGGTTTCTGAGGAAACAGTACAATAATAAAGTCTGGTGCAAACTCAAAGGTCACCAGTTGAGGTGAAATCCCACTGCTGTGGTGGCTATAACTGGGTCAGTAGAAAAACTTTTTCCAAATTAAATAACATAGAACATTTTATTTTATTTTTTTTTTCCAGCATTTTATTGTCATTACACTGTCACAAATATAGAGCAACAAAATTAACTATCCCATCCCCTAGGGGAGCAGTGGACTGCCATTGTACGGCACACGGGAGCAGTGTGGGGTTAAGGGTCTTGCTCAGGGATCTCCCAAAGCAGGAATTAGCATGAATGGTCGATTCTAAGGACCCACACTGGCAGCTCATTCCCCCCAGGCGAACCCAGAGAAATCCAGGCTTCTGTTTGCAGGACTGGTGACTTACCCCTTAAGCTAGCCAGCCGCTATTTTTTTTTTTTTAGATTCATTTCTCTAGGACAATATATGATTTTCAAAAAGAGGTCTAATATCTGGAGTAATTATCTTATGATATCAGTTTTTTTAGGGAAAGAAACCTGCTAGACCGAACATTGTTTTGTTTTGTGTTTTTCGCGGCACCACTGTTTATTTTTTTCCTGTGCTTTACTACAGGTACCACTAAACCCTAAGTGCTTCAAAGCCATTATGAGGATGACTTACTGTCCACACTGTCGAGGTATGCCCACCGCTAAGCCCTGTGCAAACTATTGCACCAATGTCATGAAGGGCTGCTTTGCCAACCAGGCTGACCTCCACACAGAATGGTCACATCTAGCAGGTACGTCTTCATGCACACAGTGCCAACTGTCTAACATTACATGTATTCATACCAGGCATCTATATACAGATGGATTACGCTTAGAGATGTCTTAACTTGAACTAAATCTAGAGATGCACTGATCCAATACTCAAATCGGATATCGGCTCCCATATTGATTAATAAGCTGCATTGAATGTTGGGTGGATCATTTCCAATCCAGTCATTTCAATTAATATCATACACAGTAATATAGTTACAGCGAACTAGCGATTACAGTTTTACGATTGCAACACTGATTACATCATCACACGAAAGCTCACAGCAGCTAGTGATTATGTATACCTGTATTAATCTGTTATCCTTTTTTAAAAATGTAATGTCAAGCATAATACCTTTCAACGATAGTGTTTGATCAGTATCGGGTAACTTCAACCCATTTATCAGTAACGGATTGAATGGAATCATAGGAATCCGTGCATCTCTAACAACATCCATGCTGTCTTTCAAGGGGCAATGATTTGAATGTGTTGAATTATTGAAATGAATGGCTAAATTTCACTTTTGGGAATAATAATGTATTTAGAAATTAAATTGAAATACAGCTTACAGCTCCGATGTGAGTCAATTGCAATTCTGGGATGTTTGGTGCAAAAAAATAAAATTAAATTAGCAAACAAATTGGTTTGGGAATTTTAAGGTGCTTGACAGTAAAACTAAAGAATAACAACAATATTTTGGTTCACTGATTCTCAAAAAGAAATCTGAGACAGAAGCCTTTCACCTCAGCCTGCCTCCATTTAAGATGCTGTTACTTTAAAGTTTTTTAAATGACTGCAAATCATTACATAGTAGGTATGTCATGTGGTGAAATACTTGAGTTTACAATTCATCTGCAAATCAAGGTCTCGGGGTCTAGAGTCAGGAGGAAGTCCCAGTGCTTACAGTCCACTGTAAAGTTTCCACAGTAAGAGAGAGAATTCAGTGCTCCATGTCTTCACTGCAAGCTAGAAATAAGTCAACATTTCTTAAATTAAGTATATTTAGCCTTAATTTGCATGGGTAAATAAGATGATTTGCCAATGTAATGAGTTTTTTTTTTCTCCTATAGTAAGACAATTAGATAACTAGCACTTGAAATAAAACAATGCAATTTTTTTCTTATTTTAAATGTAAATTATCTTGTTCCATTGGCAAAGTCTCACCCCCTCAATTCAAGAACAAATCCACTTATTTTAAGAAAAAATGGCTTATCTAGATTTTTTTCCAGTGAATTGTTGGTCAACTGTGGACTTTTTAAAATCTACAATTAATACTGCCGCTTCCAAGGATGTTTTCAGAATACTTCACATTTCCTTCTGCATACGAACATAATGGAGATGCTGGTTTCATTTCACAGCAGAAATTGACAGCTGCCCAGACCAGCTACCAAAATCTGGTTCAATGTCTATGGTATGACTGTGGTTGATTTTCCTGCAAATTGGCCTGAGCTACAGTAAACCCTATAGAATCTACAGTATATGAAGTATTATCAAGAGGAAGATGTGTTAAGTATTAAAATGACCCAATGCCACAATCAACCAGCCTAGGCTTTTATTAAACCTCAGCAGATGATGATCCCCTTCATGCAATGCTGCATTGATGTAGTAATTAATGCAATGGATAATCCAGTCTAGTACTGAGTCCAGACAAATGAAAATACTTTTAAGAAACCTGACATCAGTTTTATATATTCTTTGCATCGATCTTATGTTATAATGACATTTTCTGAAACACTGAACTTTGGATATTATTAACCTGTACCCCATAATAACTTGACATATTTCTATATGGTTGGTTATAATCTTACACTAATGGTCTGAATAACTTCTGTTTGCAGCTTTTTCTTAATTTGCAGTTAGTGATTCTGCTTGCAACATTTTCCGTTTAAATGTGTTTTGTGTGTTAGCACATTTATTTGTTTGCAGTGAGTTTTATGTGTTCATATATTTGCATTATGTTTGCATTTGCTTGTGATTTCAGCAATTCTCATTGCAGGATTTCTTTTTCTCATTTTGTGTTAAGTCTAAATATGTTGTTTGTTAGTTTTTTGTGTCTGCTAGTTTTAGTTGTTATTATTGTGTTTGCTGTGCATTAAGGTTGTTGCAGTGGATATGCACTTTTAAGCCCCTTTATTTAATTTATTCCGTCATTTATTTTTTTAAAGAATATCCTATTTGTGCTATGGTTTAATTTTAAATATGGTAAAATACCAAACTGATTTTTTTTTTTTTTTATCAAGAGCTAGGAGTATAGACTTATCCTAAAAAAATTTAACAGTAGTCTATACATCCTTCTTTTAGCGAACTTATATAACTTATAATGTTTGCTTTGGGTTTCAGTCTTACATTTTATAAATAAAAGGTGCAGAACAGCTGCCCAAAGTGTTGTACCAGAAAAATAATTGGTCTTCTATTGGTTCTTCTTTTATGCTTACAGATACAATGATTGAGGTGGGAGAGCATCGCTTGGATGATATGGATAGCGTGATTCTTTCCCTCCCAAATCAAATATCAGAAGCCCTATTTACCATGGAGGATAATATGGCAAGCATCAACAGCAAGGTTAGATCATGCTTTGGTTTACACATACTACACATCGATACAGGCTTTTTAAATTCAATACTATTACCGATAATTTTTACATGAGTCTGGCTGATCCCTGATATATGCAGCAGATTTTTCGGGGTGCTTTTTTCAGGCCAGTATTTCTTTCTTTTTGTCTATTTGCATGATAAAAATTATACAAGGATATCAAATGTGACACAAGTCTTGATTAAAAATGAAAGAAACTTCTACTAACAAATCAAACAAAAACACTAAAAATGGATATCAAATATAGGGGAACGGCAATGCATGGACCTTAAGTGACTCAAGGTATGAGATCGCATTGTTGCATTAAGGCAGCTTAATGCACAAATGAATCGGCAAACATATGGGAGTATCAGCCAATACTAATACAAAGAAACGCTGTAAATATCAGCTAAAACAATGAGCTGGCTGATGTATCTTTTTGTGACACAACTTTAAACCAGCAAGTTGTAAGTTTGGCCCTAGTATTACCTTCATTTGACCAGTTGCTTTATAGGAAAATTTTTGAGGAGGTGCTCAGGAAGGGAACCGTTTGCAAGGAGAGGTGAACAAGCACAACATTCCTATTTTCAGTGAATATGAATAAATACATATGCATATATTTACACATCCATAGTGTCAGCTTTGAGTTCTGGAATATCTTATCTATTGTCATTTCTTCTCTGCATGTTCACTATGCTTACATCAATAATTGCTCTCCAAAGTATTAATATTTATATGACCTAATACCTAAATTTAATATATTTAGTTTTTATTTATTTCTGATTACACTAAAGACTCCTAGATGACTTACAAATTAACTAGGTATATATTTACCCTGTAAAACACAAATTTGTGTTCTGAAAAGATCATGAATTCTGTATTCATCATCTTTAATGTTTGTATATTGATGTGAGTAATTAACTACAGCAATTCTGTTGCCAGTTTATTGTTAATATACAAAAAATTGAAGTGTAAAAATAGTCCACTTGAAAGTTTTACTCCTGCCTTCTATCGCTACTACTATGACTGTTTTACCTTAACCATTACCAGTATATTACTAACACTAACCTTAAACTAAAGTCAATTCACACCATACTGTAACTGTAAACTGATTCCCTAACAATCTTAATGGAGGTCCACAATATTAGGCCTAGCCTTTGGTCACTGCAAGGTCTATTGGTCCTTAAAAGGTTAGTAAATATATATTAAAAAAAAGGTCTTAAATAGGTAGCATAGACAAGTAACCCTATTTTTAACAATTTTGGCTTCATACCTACCCATAATCCCAGCCTAAAATCCACATAAACCTCAAACATGACCCCTGACTCTAAAACGGCACTTCCCCTTATGGAGTCCTGGACCCGCAAGAAGCACTCGGTCCCCACAACGTGTTATGTTTTCCAGAAAATAGCTTATGAGGACCAATGAAATGTCCACATTTTACAATGGCCAGACCTCATTTTGCTGGCAAAGTAAGAAAAATGGTTCACACGCACACACAAAAGTAGACTGTAAAACAAAAGTCTCATGAGCCTCTTAGATTTTCCTTGAGAAAAAAAATCTTATTAAGAGTTCAATGGCCAGGACAACTACTGCACTGCCATAATCAGATCATGTAGCCAGAATGGTTCAAAGTTTTCTATCTAAGGAAAACCAATTGATTGCACCGACTCATTGACTCGAATGCAATCCTCACACCACGCATGCTTGTGGCAACAGTCAAGAGTTTTAACAATAACGGTAACAAATGCATGTACTAGTTTCTCAGCATCACCTCTGGACAGGATATTTCAGAGTTTTTGCAAATGAAAGAAAAATGTAAATTCTGGAAACCTCTTTGATATGAGATTGAAATGACAGGTCCTTATCAACCATAACACTGAGGTTTTTAATAGATTATATCATCAACAGATTGAACATTCCTTGCATTCACATTCATACAAATTGTGACTACATCCCTGTCTAACATCCTGGAGGTGTGGACTTCTATTCCTCTGGGTGAATTTAGAAAGGCATGCCAAAGCATGATACCACTATAGTACTGTATTTTCACGACTATAAGGCGCATATAAACGTCTTTTTTTTCCCTCAAAATGTGCGGCGCGCCCTATGTATGTTGTTACTGCGGACGTTGTTGAGCCCACCATGAGAACGTTAAAGGGGGAAGTGTAGGCGTGGATTGTGTATAAAAGAACAGGTATGTGCTTTATGCAGAACTCCTCATCTCCTCATTGAGGAGATGATGAAAGAGTGGCTGAGGGAGGGGAATGTAAAGAGACCAGGTGGTTTTTTCCACTCATCACCATCGCTGTTAATCTGTGACTCCATGCGTGCCCATCTCACAGCCGATGTGAAAAACATGGTGAAACAAATGAACGCTGTGCTTGCTGTTATTCCAGGAGGTCTGACAAAGGAACTTCAACCGCTCAACATCGGTATGAACTGGCCGTTCAAAGTAATGCTACGTTCACGCGTCTGCTGCTTCATTTTTGCTTCCTGTACCAGTTAGTTCTGACACGCGGCTGAAGCAGCTTTGCTGCTCTAGCTGCGCGGTGCAAAAGTGTGCCTGACGCGCGTTTGGCGAAGCTACTCTATCCTTTCTTTGCCTTGCGGCTATATTTGCTGTGATCAGTGGGAATAAACTAGCTTTAATATGTATTTAAGTGAGAAAGTCCACCTGAAAACTTAATAATTGCAGTCAGTTCATCCTGCAGTCATGATTGGTTTAATGAACGAAAACCCACATGGAGAACACTAACGGAGACAGAGGAAAGTTTAACAATGTTTATTTGGGAAACACACACAGAGTTAATCAGGAACTGGTTCTGGTGCAGGTCCGGGACTGGTTACTCTTATATCTGGAGAGATGAGAGTTTGGTTAGCCAGCTGGTTATGCCTTGACGAGTGAGTTGAATTCTGATCGTACCTTGAAGAGGNCAACATATTCTGCCGGCAGATTTCTGCATTTTAAGTTTATTTATGCGTCAATAAACTGTTTCAGAGGAGTGATCACAGCGCTCTGTGTCATCAGCGATGTGTCTGTCTCATGGCCAGCTCCCAGGTTTGATTAATACTTTATAAAAATTACATGAATAAAGCACAAACATACTCAGTTTTGCTCCCGCTCTATTTTTAAATATGCAGTTGAGATATTTAAACTTAGTAGAGGACATGTACCTGTATATAAAACCCGTGCCCTATAATCCTGTGCGCCTTATGTGTGTGTGTTAAATACAGTAATGGCACACATAACTGAGACTGCGCCTTTTAGTACGGTGCGCCTTATGGTCGTGAAAATACGGTATTTCAGTGAAAATTCCACTCTCCTCTTTAAAATCTCCGATTCCTTACAATGACCTATGCCATGGTGATGGACTCAGCTTCTAAATCTGCTTTTTTAGTAACCAATTAAATAGTTGCTAAATATGCCCCTTTGACCAACTGACAACATTCTCAAAAAGGATATATAATATAAAAGGCAAGGAAGAGTATTTCTGAAATGTTTATATTCCACAACTTTATTAAGGCCAACAGAAAGTCCTTCACCAAAGCCTCTCTAAATTTCCCCACATGACCACATTTTCTGCTGTCTCATGAGTCATCCAGTAATTCATATTTGCAGAAGCAGACTTGTGTGTTCCTGTTGACATATTCACTTATAAAGTATTTCAAGGCTTAAACGGGCTTGTAAAAGACGTTAAAAATAACATCTCTGAAAAAGAGTCTCAATGTCTGATATATTTTAAATTAGCTAAAGTAAATTTTATGTTTGTCTTTCTGTATTTTTTCTTTATGAAATGCACTCAGAGGTTCTCACAACATTTATACTGTTGCACTGCTTCTTATATCTAGAGTATAATAAAAGGGAGTGAGTTATGAGTCACAATGCAGCCTACAGACAGCTTTTATTCATAAACACCTATGGCTTTCAGTAGCAAATAACAACAGTAAGTTGTTTAGTGAAGGTGGATATGTTCGGCTAGAGGAAAAACAAAGCGTCCTCTTTGCTGTTTTTCTAAAGGGCCAATCTGGCCTAAAGTGAGCTGTGACCTGGTGGAATGTCCCTCACTTTTGTCAATATGCTAAACAAAGTGTTAGCTTTTTATTCCAATTTCTTCATAAAATCACTAGTTTAAAGTCAAAAGACATTCACATTCTTAGTTTTATCCCAACAACTATGTACAGCACTACTAATTTAGTATTGAAAATAATTGAGAATATAGTTTCACTAAAGATATGGCCACGAACATTTAATCCTTGCTGCTCATTCCTAAATATTCCCCATGCATTGTTTCTAGCCTGTGTAGTCCATGAGGACAAGTAAGACTGAAGGAGCTGTGAATCGCCATATGTATGAAATGCACTGGTTGACTCGGGTCATGCAAATAACTTGTTGCACCATGTGTCTCGCTTGGTTTCCAAAGAAAATCATTTTTCTCTTTATACCGAGAAACACTGTTGATTCAAAAATGTTTCACACATTACTAAGAAAACTCAATTGTGTCACCCTTTAATTAAGCCATTAACTTGTCCTTCTGGTGTTTCCCCCACCTTCTTCTTCTCCTTTCACCAGCTGTTCCAGGCATGTGGCAGTCTCAGCAAAGGAGGAGCCACTGGCTCAGGATTTGACGACATCACAACCAGAAAAAGTGCTGTGACCGACAGTTTGGGAGGTAGCAACAACAAATTGGCAAATTCGGTTAGTATTTTCCCACCTGAAACAATTCATTTACCTCACCCCCGAAAGAAAGAAGAAAAAAATCAAGCATACACTCCTGCCTTAAAACATGTAACTTTTAGATTGTCAGAATTTATTATACTGGAAATGAAAGTCAGTCAGAAAAATGCACACTTTTGCTAATTTCTTTATAATTTTTAATACATGTCAAATCTGCTTCAGGTGACTGACATCAACATAAAGCTGAGAGAAATGCGACCATATTGGATTTCTCTACCAAAGCTTCTTTGCAGTGACAGAGTTGCCAGTGGCACAGGGGCTGAGGACAAGTGTTGGAATGGCATGAGTCGTGCCAGGTAAGGATAAAAAAAAAGAAAAGAAAAAAAAGGTGTGCACTTAAAATAAACAAACATGTTACAGCGCATCAAAAAACAAAAATAATTTCAAGGAGGAAGGCTAATTTCATACAGGTTTATTTTGTACTTTATTTTGTTATTATTACTACTTAACTAAATTTTAACCATTGCTGGTTTTAGGCATCCATATAAGGGATTAAAAATGTAAAAGGGGACTTGAAGTATCACATACGTTTCTGAGGCCACATGTTTAGGTCAAACAAAGGCAACATCACCAAATTTATTTTTGTTTTATTTATTTATATTTTCCAATTTTGTACAGAAATACAAAAACATTAAATCTTTGTGACATTTTTTCTGGCAATGTGAAAAAAACAGTAGAATGCTTTAATGTCCTGACCCATGGAACAGTAGAAATGTAAAAAAAAAAAAATCCTAAAATTGGAGAGTGTAGTAGGCCCTATTATCAGGAATGATGATAGATAAGGTGTCACCATTTTTGCCTCATAAATCAACACATACCGAAGGTTTATCTCAGTTTGTGACATGTATTGCAGCATAGTGGGCTAACAGGCTCAGAGTTGTCTGCACTGAAAGTAAGGCCACTATGCTTATTTTTTTGTAATCGAATCGGTCCATGACATAAGAGCCCCAAGGGCTCTGTCTAACGCATTTCATGACAAGGTAAATAAAAAAAAAAAAAATAGACTTAGACGAACTGTATTGTCATTTCGTATACACAGTGTACTGTATGCAAAACGAAATTTCGATGCATACAGCTTTTCGACAGTGAATGAGCAGCAGCTTAGCAGTGGAATAACCATTTCTATTTATAAAGTGCAGCAGTGATCAAAATGTAACTAGTGTAGGAGAGACATGGTGCAAAAGACATTGATGTGGAAGGCTCAGAGCAGTGCAAAAATAAATAAATATATATTGTGCAAAATAGAGTAGAAACACTGAGTTGATTTCTATTTTGAAGATTCACCAAGTATTGCAAGTAGGATGTTTACAGTGGGATGCGGTATCTCGATTTGTGACTTGATTAGACTTTTCAACAGTTCAACAGTCTTATGGCAGTGGGGAAAAGGCTGTTGCAGAACCTGCTGGTCCTGCATCGAATGCTGGCCAAAACACTGACTATTAATGAATAATAGTCAACCTTTTTGACCCATTATGTCACATTTACCTGTTTATTTGCACATATATGTAAGAAAAGAGAAAAGCATAATGAAAACATGAAGCTCAAACCCATCAGAATCTCATCGACTCACCATGAGCAATAGCAGGTGGGGAACATATGCACTACCAGCCCACCAGCAGACAGAGAGCCAGCTTTGAAAACACGGGTGAGGTGACCAAGTTCAGAAAGATTCCTGAATGGTCAGTCTGTAAAGCAGAACCAATGGACAGAGTGATTTGTATTTTTTTCTACCTAATAAAACAGAATTCCTGCACAGGTGTGTAGCTGCCTTGCCGCGGCTGCAGGTGGATCACAGCAACATATCTGGGTCAATCTATCACCTTCAACATGGGAAAAAATCGAAAGAAAAAGAAATGGACATGATTGGCAAAAAAAGATGTTATTGTTCTAACATAATTATAACATATAACATTTCCCATTTCTATTTCCTAAGTTGTCCATACTTTTACACAAACTACTATATGAAATCGTGGCTCAACCTCTGTGCAAAGGTGCACATTTTGGGATTTTTGTGTGAATTAATTCAATACAAAATTTAATTGACATTAAATTGAACTTGAGCAGAAAAGTCTCTTTATAGTGCATGTTCTTTTAAATTTGTTTTTAAAATCCATCCCTGGAAAAAATAACATTTTACTATTCACTAAATTCTTTACGAATGGGTTCTAGTTGAATATTTTTTTTGTCTGTATAACAGGCTGTAAGTCATTCAAAAAAACTGCTGAGTTTCCTTTATGTTTAAGGGTTTTGTATGATCTTAACAATGGAAATGATTCGGGAAAACTCAGGTCGCTGAAATAAAATCCCACCACTTTTTGCAACAAAATTATAACCCACTTTTCTTTCACAGCAACTTCAGTCTTTGATAAAACAAAAAACTGTAAATGTATAACTGTAAAAAATATTTTGCATCTACTCATAAAATACAATTATTATTATTATTTTTTTTATGTTTATAATCTCCAGGTATCTGCCTGAGGTGATTGGTGATGGCCTAGCTAATCAGATCAACAACCCTGAAGTGGAAATTGACATCACAAAGCCAGACATGAAAATACGGCAGCAAATAATGCAGCTTAAGATCATGACCAACAAACTGAAGAATGCGCTCAATGGACGGGATGTAGACTTTCAGGATAACAGTGAGTAAACTGAAAAAGATTGTTTTTGTTCATACCATAAAATGGGTCTGTTTTGATGTTTTACCGCTGAGACTCTACTTGAAATTTTTTGAAGGTCTTGAAAAATTCATATATTGGGACTTGATTATTAAAATGGTTTTCATAAATCTGAATGTCTTCCATAAGATGGAATTAGAAATTTTTGTGTGATAGGTAATCATGTTAGTAATATTTTGAAAAGAAAATACATTTGGAAGGAAATTATACTTTGATGTTAATCTAATAGCATGTTGTAAAATAAATAACAATACACCACAGTATTAGAGATTCTTTACCACTATCTTTTTTAAGAAAAAGTGTACTTTCAGCTTGAAATTCCTTTAATCTAACAGTTATCTTTTTAACAAAGATACATGGTCATATGTGGTTAAATCAAAAAACTGATTCTCAGACATTTGAATAATTAATGTTATAACAGGATAATTGTTTTTACTGCACTTTTTTATTTATCTATTTGCAACAGCAGCAACAGTTATATACACATATATTTCAGAAGTGTGACGTTATTGCGATTCTACCTTACCACACCATACTGAACACTTGGCTTAGCTTTGTGGCACTTCCCCTCTGACCAGAATGGATCATTAAAATTTTGAAATATGTATTATTGGAGGCGATCCATACAAAGTCCCTGCCAACTTTTTTCAACACATTTCTTCAACTCACAGGCTTATACATATATCTTATGCACAACCTGTCCTCACTCACAAGAGAAAATCTGAAAGCATTTTAAAACTCAGATGCCTATCTGTATTTCACACCTGGCTGGGTTATTGCATTGCTCAGAAAATGTATTGCAAGATGTCTTCTCTGTTTTCTGAAGTTTTAGAAGAGGGAAGTTAATTTAAAGATCTATAAACTTTAAATACCAAACACATGATAAACACAGAAACACCAATCTATGCTTGTGTTGTAGGTGATGATGTGAGTGGATCAGGAAGTGGCTTGTGTTCAGATGAACTGTGCTCCCGGGGGCCACGCCTTATTGTCCCAGTGACGGAAAGACCCATGGTCTATGCCTACCCACCAAGGAACAAGGAAGTGAGAAGTTCAGTGTCACAAAGCCTCCCTTCAATCAGCATCCTCTTGCTTCCACTGGTCATCCTGCTGCTCCAACGATAATTGATATGAAACTCTTCTTACTGGGACTGAGTTTGGGACATGGGGGACTGGAGAGTTTTAAAATGGATGGAGGAAATGTTGGGGGTTGGCTACTTTCCCATTAGTAAGCAAATAAAAGAGATCATAACAAAGTCACTCAATAGACTTTCTTTGGTTTTAAACACCACCCACTAGTAATCAGCCGTGTTTCTGTTCTTCTCTTTAATTTGCCCATATTCTACGCCACTGTTAGAGTTTGTCTTTTGCTAATATGTTTTTTTCTAGTGTTTAAGTTTCCTGAAATAATATTTTCACCTTAGACATTAAAGGCCTATACTGCTAATGGTACTATAGATTTTGACTTGATGAGAAGAAGGGGAAAGGAGTGTTATGGCAACCCCTTTTTGCACATTTGATCACCACTTAAAATGTGTAGGTTTAATTTATTTTATTTTATATTAGAATTTATTAGTAGGGAACTAATTGAAATAATCAAATCCTGTTTCCAAAAGCAAATGACACAAACTAGATATTTAAAAAATCTATTTTTAGAAGGGATAATCTGAACGTCATGACCCATTAGACCTGTCAATGCATTAGGCTTTGCGGTGTTATCACATATAATCTCTCTCTGTGGGGGATGTGAGCTCATGCCATCAGCACTCTCCAACAGTTTATCTTTAATCTGCAATAAAACTTGTCACAATATTCACACAGACAATTTTCTTCTACTGAGGGGAGCAATGCATCTTGTCTTCCATTCCATACACCCACCACTCCCCCTTGCTCCCACCACTTCACGTGTAGCATTAACATGAAGTCCAATTTAAAACAATGTGCTCACATGACTGGATAGCCTCAGCTGACACAGAGTGGGAAAGAGTAATTAGTTTTACGCCAGCCCATGTGATAGCAGAAATGTACGCAGAAGCAGAAACACATATTTCCTGCAGCACTTTGTTCATAACTTTCCTGATTTTCACAGCAGGTCAGTTAAATATGCAGAGAATTTTAGTGCTACAGGGTTCGTATGTAAGTGTAGCAAGGATCATGTTCACGATCAAGGCAAACAATGCACGTTTCTAGAATATAACATTTTAATGCAGTGTACATATTTTGATTGCTTTTTTGCTTTCTTGGGGAAAGAATCCAATTTGCTCTCCCTCTTCTGTATGTTTGCATAATCTGTTTGCCGTTTCTTTCCTTGCACGTTGCCACAAAAGTGCTGTTACCCAATCCGTCGCCTCTCTACCACATTTTTTTTGTTTTTGCTCATCAGTTGTAATTACCTGTAGAAGTTTGCTTAATGATGGCAAGATAAAGATAACAATAACAGTGCTTTATTTTGTTATTCTGACTGGAAATGTTTTTGGGAAAACATTGCAATACCATTTCTTGATGACATACTAGGGAGACATCATGTAACACATTTATTTTCAAGACAAAGTCACAGGGCTCAGTTCAGATTACTGTGCAGGATAAGAGGACAGTTTCATGTATGTAAGAGTTCATTGCCGAAATGTGAATGTGTGTTTTCGTCTGTGACTGACAAAGCGAATCGGGGACAAACTTAAGGGTCTGAATAAATCATGTATGGATGATACAGAGAGCATTTTTTTTTTAAACATTCTAGTTTATTACAATTGCTCCGGTCTCATGATGCATCACAGTGCACTGTTAAACTGACGGCAATTGGAGATTTATAAAGTCTATTTTTCAAAAATAGCATTTTCAACCACTGCTGTAATAGATCACATTATGTATTGGTGACTTATGTACAGTCAGATTAGTATATGACAGCAAGATGAAAATAGAAGAATTAAACTGATGCATTTTTCAATATGTCATTACTCCAGACGGGACAGTTCATGGAAATTCATGTTAAAAACATTATTCTATATGCACCTAGATTGCTGGAAATATTTCAACTTCATTTGGGCTCTGTTAGATTAAAGAATTTTTTTTCCTTATGTGTTAATAATAGTCTCTCAGATGATATTTTAATTGTTTTCTTTTCAGAAAAAAAGAGCTTTATTAATGAGTGAGTTGTTGCTGTTTGTGTGTTTTTCTCTCTTTGTCCCTGGACAGGAAATGTGCCTGTGACTGCCTATGATCATTTGGGGTCAATATTAAGATAAAGGGAGAATTTATGTTGGTTTATGTGGACAAAAAGGAAATATTTTAACAGAAAATGAGTAGCACAAGGGTCTCTGTTTGTGACTGGGAATATATGTGAACAACCTAATAAAAATAAGATATTACTCAGACTGTCATGGTGACACTCTAGCTCAAAGACAACCCTTTGACTTCAGAATGACTAATTTAATTTCAGTAACTCCCTCACAATGTCATCAGCTGAAATTTGCATAGCCCCCAACAAACCTTGTCTCTCGCTTCCATTTTCTGATCACATTAGTTTGCTCTCCTTGTCCTCCTACCCTTTACCAAAACATGCACTTTTATGAAGCCACTAAATGGCATTGTCTGCACAAAGACATGAGAAGGTACTCGATCAATAAGAAAGTCAACACCGTCACGGAACTGCTATTGATTTGGGAATGTTTGTATGCAGATAGATGTGGCCCGGCATGTTGACTCCTGTTTGAGGATAGTGATAAAGTGTAAACATGAAAGCTCTAGAGTGGAAGAGGAAGCTTGACAAAAGTTTGCACTGTTCTCAGGTCAGCATGTATTCCTCAACCCAGCCTCTAATCTCAGATGCTTGGTTCCTTGCAAAAGTATTCATACCTCACGAATTTTTCCACATTTGTCACTTTATAAACACTATTTTTTTTTCTATATATATATTTTTATGATAGACCAAAGCAACAAAAACAGATGTCACAAATCATCTAAAAATTTTGGTTCTCTTCTTTACAAATAAGAATATAAAGTATAAAGGTTTCCAGTGCCTGTTAGTGACTTCTGTTGTTGGGCCGTTTTTATGGTGGAAGTTCAGTCAGATTGGTTGAACATTGCAACATGGAGATTAAAGTCTTGGTACACATCTTTGTTGATTTATATGTTGATTGAATTTGGTCATTCTAGCACATGAAAATACTTTTATCTCAACCCTACCACTAAAACTTTAACTCTATATATTATTGTCATTGTTTTGCTGTTAGGTGACCCTTCAAATATTGTTATACATTCTTCTTCCTGTTTTGACTGGTTTCTCAATGCTTGCTCATATAAATCATCCCCATGGCATGATGCTCCCATCACCATCCTTTATCAGGTGATTGGTATGTTCATGATGATGCTCTCTGTCACACACTGTGGTTTGCATGTAGGCATTGTTCCCACCTGACCAGAGTGCCCTTTTCCACTTGTTTGTTCAGGACTTAATGCAAAATGTTGATTTTTTTTTTTTCAGTGGTTCTCTACCTGCCTCTATTGTATGAAAAATTTTGCAGCGCACTTATGTTGGCAAAAGTTTAATTCATTAGTTCCATCTCACAAATGAGGTCCTCTGAGCTGAGAACTTAAAAGCGTGTGTCTTAAAGGTACCAATGTATGAGAAAAATATATGCTTTGTTTTTTGTTTAGGTTTACTTTTATTTTGTTTTTATCAGATATCTATTGAGAGTTTGTTCCTATGGTGAAAACAGGTGCAACAAACAGCTGGAGGAATATCTATAACAACATGTTTCATTTGCTGTTGTACCTGAATTATTGTGTCAATTATATACATTGTAAGATTTTCAAATTTTCAGTGTCTTTTCTCTTTAATCAAATTGAAATCATAGGAAGTTGGGCAATTGCATGTTAAGGCATGCTAAGGCAAGTTTATATAGCATAGTTGTGCTATGTTATGCTGCACATGAGAGTAACAAAAAGAAAGAAAAGTACCTGTACGCAGCACCCTTCAGGTATACAAAATAAAAAGAAACAAGAATCATTGAAATAAGATGATTATATATAAAAATTGATGAAATGATAAAACAAATAGGAATATTTTAAGATGCCTGAAAAGTTCAACAGAAAATGTAACTTACAAAGTTTGACTAGCACAATCCGATCAATTTGAGTTTCTGGATTTAGAGCAGCTGAGGGTTTCAGTAGTTTTACAGTTTTCTTGGTGTTTATTTCAGATTAAGGGAGCATAATAACTAAGCGTAAGAGCTTTCTCTCTTTGTTTGGTTCTGGTTCTGTGTATGTAAAGTAGATTTGAGACAGATGTCTGGATAGCTGGATACACTGATAGCAGGTCTGGAATGTTTTTTTGAGTTCTTTCAATGATTCTTTGACTAACAGAAGTGTTTTAAAGTCCATTCTCTAAGAGACAAGAGTCACTGTCACGATTTTGATACTGAAGTGATGTGTTCCACTTTCTTAGTTTTGGTGAGGATGTGGACAGCAGGATTCTGGATCAACTGCAGCTGTCTGGTCAACTGTTTAGGCAGACCTGTCAGGACACTATTCTACTAATGATACACGTGTAAGTGAGTTTTCCAAGGTCCTTTAATCCTTGATATCCTTGGGTGATAAAAGGCACACATATTGTCTTTGTGTGCCTCCGAAGGTTCAGGTCTGAGCCAGCAACATGTATTATAAGAGCTTATAATAACAATAAAGTTACTTTTGGTTCAATAATGAAAAACATTTTTTTTTTTTTTAAACTTGATCCTAAGTTAAGGTTAAACAATTATTAAACAGTCGTAACCACTGAACAAGTTCACAGAAATAAATGCTGGACTTATCCAGAGTTGTGACCAGGGGATATTTATAATATATGGATTGAAATTTTGCAACTTTCAATGGTATTCTAATTTATTAAAATTCACTTGTCCTAACTCAAACTAACTCCACAAATGAGACAAAATGAATGCATAAGTGAGTTGTTTTTGAGAAGAGATATGAATGTTCATTGAACTGAGCACGCCATCTGCTCAAGTTGTTTTGGTGGAGCGCGAAAGGGAATTCTGCTACCTGTAAAGGGTTATTGTTTTTTCAGGAATAATATCAGATGAGACAGATGCTGTTAATTGCTGTCACTTTGCAAACGGCCACATGCTCAGAGCACATTAAATGAATTTTCATGTTTCTATTTAAAAGACTGCAGAACTCCAAGACCTCTTGGGATCATATTGGAGATTTTCACAAACAGAAATTAAACTGAGGAAATGCACCAAATACGAACCACACTCTAATATCATCTGCACACAAAAGTTTTAAATAGTCAGGTCCATTGAGTAAAAAGTGGTTACAATTGTTAAATATATGATCCAAATTAGTGTGTAATGTGCATTTTACATCTCTAAAACAAACAGGAAGAGAACCAAAAGAAAGCTTTGGTAGTCTACAATTACTGATTTTTGCCACAGTTTTTGATAAGTAGATAGAAATGTTTATAGTCCTCTTTAAAATCTGAAACACGACTTATTCTTAAATCTCCACAGTTACATCTTGAACTGATCCATAAAATGCATTTTGTCAGGTTGGGTGGAGGCTTTGAGGACCCGAATGCAGAGATGAGTAGACAGAGAAGAGTTTTGCTGATTTAATTAAGGACTAACAGGCAACTGAGGCAAAATCCAGAAAAACGCAAAAATACTGAAAACCAAACAAAATCCAATAAATGTCAGGGACAATTCTAATACACGTGGGGAGAAAGAGACGAGGAAGCAACAAAACAAAAACAAGAAACCGGCAAACAGGAACTTCAGAGGTGGTGTATATATGGGGAACAAAACAACGGATGGGCTAATGAGCTGATATGGAGCAGGTGTGAATAGGACAACTAGGAGGGAGCCATGGGTAAGGAACAGGAACAATGGGGCAACTGAGAGTAACTTAAAAAATGCAACACAGCTTAAATATAACACAAAATGGAAAAGAAATCAAAGACCAACAAAACAGGATGACATTCATTACTGAAACAAACTCAAAAAGAAAATAACAAAGTCCAAGAGGGAAGACCCATAACACTGGATGTAAACTAAAGCAACAGAGAGTACATAAAGAAATACCAAACAGAAGAAAAAAAACAACTACAGAGAGCAGAACCCTGACACATTAATTTGCCTGGCTTTTCTAATATTTCAAACTTTTCTTCCTTCTACTCCTTTACTTGTTAAATTCTGTTCCATTTGTTTAGATAATAGTCATTAAATCATCCAAAACATTATATTTCTGCTGTACATTAAGCAGACTCCAGGATAGACATTTTTTTCTCAAATGCACCAGCCTTGTTTAGATGTTCCATTTGCACATTTTCATCAAAATCAGCAGGGGGAAGTAGTTTTGATGACTCATGCATGAGGTTAATTCTTGAGCAGGCGTTGTACCCTGAAGGTCTTTTTCTGTTTTGATTTGCATTTCACAGTTCATAGTTTTCTAAACAGTTCTCTCAGGAGGTTTTAATTATCTTCAGTCTGCACTTGATTTGATATCGATCTTTAACTATCATGTATCTGTAAATAAATCCTAAAACAGAGGAGATAAAAAAAAAAAAAAAACTATAGCACTCTGCATATTATCTTATTTTCTCCCTTACTGTAATAAAGATTTAATGACATTCTAGTGGTGATTGCTGTAAATCTTGCCTTTGACAGTCCTCTTCTTCTTCTTCTACCTGGATTTTATGTGAACCCTACAGATATGCTTTCTCCTTTTCAGACACAATTAATTTTGAAACACAAATTAAATATGAATTATCATTCATTTTATACAATTTAATGAAATCTTTAATCTATGCTGAACTAGCTAAACAACTTATTTGTACCAAAGAGGTGTAACCTTGTCAGAAGTACACTATGATAGAGCATTATACCCATTGAGGAATGTGATTACCAATTTACTCATGCACTCTTTGCAAGTGTTATGCATTTAGAAAGAGGCACAGTTTCAGCTCCTGATTGTGTCTGAAATCTCTGTTGCCTTCTTAACACACCACTGCACAAACACATAGCTCACACTCAGGCTTCTGGCCTTCAGTTTGCCCTCTGGTTCTCAACACTTTTATGAGTAACTGTCTTACACTAACACATGACCTCAAATTTTTAAATATAAACACAAAGGTAAAATACTCATCCATGTAACATTAGTTCACCACATGTCCTTATTTTCTTTATTCACAACAGTATGGTGTCAGGCCTAGATTTTAAAGCAAAACAAGAAATATTCTTTTAAATGTAATGGTGCATTACTGAAAGGACCTAATAGATATCAATGCTCAGCAACACAGACCTTTAGAAAAGTATTTACACCTCTTAAAAATGTTCCCTTTTTATGATGTTACAACTAAACTCCAAGGTATGTAATAGAGATTTTTATGATAAATGTTAAATAGATGGTGGCACATTAGTATGGAGAAAGAGAATGAATATTACAATTTCACAGTTTTAGTTCATACATTCTGATACTCTTAAATTAAGTCTTATGCATCCAATGATCTTCAGAAGTGACCCAGTTAGCTAACAAAGAGCACCTGTGTAATTTAATGTCAGTATAGAGCTGTGCTTTAAAGACCTCTGAGGTTGGCCACTAAACAAGCAGCAGCATAAGGCAGCTTTAAGGTCAAATAAAAACAGAAGACAGGTTGCAGAGGTCTTTTGTATTAAAAGATTGAATTTAGAAAAAAAGTCAGGTAATAAAACATTACCCCAAATCTTGCATGGAATATTTTCCTGAATCACTATTAACCACATGATCTGAAAAAAGAAAATGATATAGTTTAAGTGCAACCCTAAAACCGTGCAATGCCATCAAAAATGTGCCACAAACTATGTATAATACACTCAAAGAAAGTTCTCTGGTTAGGTGAGACTAAAATTAAACATTTGGTCCAAAAGTGAAAATTTTGTGTGTGGTGAAAAACTAACATTGTACATTCCAGTATCTCCTCCATTATGTCAAAAAATAAGTTGCTGGGTAGCCATGTTAGGATGCGTTCCTTTCAGCAGCAAAGGGAAAGCTCTTCCAGGTTCAGAGTTAAATGGAACATTTACAGAGTAAATTACAGGGCAACACTGGAAGATGTAAAACTCAAGTGGAGTTTCACTTTCCATAATATGCTCTTCATCTAATATGACAAAGCTATATAAGCTTGACCTTAGTTGTCTTGTCAGATGTCTACATAGATGCTGTCTTATCAACAAAGGCAACCCCAGTCCATTCCATAAAATTGTGCACACTGCCATCTTCTGGCTGCATAGATGTGTTATTACCGAGAGAGACAACCTTTCTCCTTTCATAAAATTGTTCACACTACCACCTTCTGGAAGATTGATTTTATCACAAAATAAAAAGTATTTGTTTGTGAAAGAAGCC